TTGTCTATGCACGGGAGCTGAATAACTGTTACCCCTCAGTTAACTAAGAAATTCTCGCTTCTGCTTTTAAGCATTGCATTTTTTCAGCCTGGGTAAAGGAGACTACACTTGGCCACGAGAAGCAGTCCGTGGTGTCCTGAACACATTTGTTTTTTTCCTTTTACATAATTTTTCTGCAAGCAAATCGTATCCCGAACGAATTAAATACATTGAGCCACGTTTTTATGCTACGCCCATATTTTCTTTAAATTATAAAAGCAAAAAAAAAAAAGGATTTCATTGTCCATCACTCCGAGACGAGGGTGCGTGCCAGTTCCATTTTAAGATTCCTAATGGACTTATTTAGTCAAGCACCAGCTGCATTTGCATTTGATGATAATGATTCCATCATCTGTGTGTGTAATGAAAAGAAATGAGTTGTTTTTCATGTTAAGATATGATAATGTCAAATTTGAATTGTGCAAGTAAGCCAAAGAGGGAAGTTTAATGTCAGACAATTCGCTTAAAGTGTAAATTTTATTCAATGAGGTGCATCCAAGCTTATATTTATTAATTTCAATTTCAAATAGGTATAAGTACCCGTTCATATCACTGAAAGTAGATGATCATTCCATTCAATAAGCTTCTTATTTAACACTGAGGTAAGGTAAACAATAAGTGAATAACCGAAAGCACATGAATTTTATTTAGTGTGTTTATGAAAATTGCCAACAATCAGACAGAAACCCATAACTGAGGAATGCAATTGACGATGGCAGCTTTTACATAATGTCGACTGCTGTAAGAGAATGCTACACACACAGAAGCACACACACAACCATGTAGTCAAACATAAAATAAAATACACCCTATCAATATAAATGGCAAAACCAACGACAAAAACAATGGCCACAACAACACTCGCATGAATCACGTTTCAAGTCGCTGGGGCTCAGGACAAGCACGAGAACCAAAAGAGCAACAACAGCAGAGTCGAACGCAGAAAAATATGTAGGAAAAATACAAAAGTGTGTGTACAAATAATGCAGCCATTTTGGATAAGAATGGAAGTTAACAAACACACACAAAAACAACAACAGTCACAGTGGAGACTTGAACAAAAAACAGAGCCATGAACACTGCAAAGGTAAAATTCGAATACCAACCCAAATCGATTTGAGCGTTCAATGACAGGGGCTCTGCTCCTCCCGTTCTGCTTTGCTGTGCGACATATATCAAAGAGCCAAAAATGCACCAGCCCCGTAAAATAAAGAAAAAATAACACAAAATGTCACATTCGAATTGAATTTAAATGAGTTTTGAGTTGAACTTTGCCGAAGATACACACAACGATAGTAGCACAAGGTGAAGAAGGGCAGGCACTTGGAGCGAACCAAAAACCTGAACTAATAACATTATAGAGACCTGCGATTGGAACGCAAGAGCAAATGCAAACTGGAACAGTGAAAAAAAAAAAACTATTTATATATTTGTGCATATATACTGACAACAACTGAGGCATAAGATAAGCGCAATTATAGATAGTCTGGTTTGTGATGTTGGGCAGAGATGTCATGGAGGAACCATGTCTTAGTTAGAATACCTCTTACAAAGTGAACTCTTGACTTTTGTTATTAAAGGCTTGGAGTGTATGAAAAGTCATCCTAACAAATAAACACGTAATTAAATAACGAAATGACTTCCGATTAGCTGGTGTCCAAGAATGTATCTTAAAATATTTATAAAGTTGAGATATTTTAGGCAGAAACTTAAGCAAGAGTAACATAAAATACATATAACATATAATACAGGGTATTTGTGTGTGGGCTTAATATTCGCATTTGAAAGGAAACCACCTTTGTATATCATGGACATCACAGGTTGGATTGTTGTGTCCCATCTCAGCATTCAGATATTACTTTCATATCAAATGCCGCCATCTGAGTGGCCGGTCTTGGTTTGCTGACGCCGCTGCACAGATCGTTTTAATTAACTCTAATCAAAGCCAATGGAATTAATTGCGAAATTAAGTTGAGAATTTCGACGACGCAATTATATATCTGTTCTGCTTCATAAACAACTCGATACGCAGGCACAGCTTGTACATCTACTTATTTATCCACATGGCCACACACATATTGAGACGACCGGCCCGATGTAGGTCAAAGACATTGGGTTGGACCCAGAATCAGTTTGCTGGCTGGAGACGTCCACGTTGTGCGGATTGAATGGGACAGTTATACAAGTTATAAGGCTGTTCGTTTACACTGACGCATCGCTGTGCGCATTACGGACAAGATATTTATAAATAGCTTCGCATTCTCTGTGTGATTGTGTGATTGTGTGAGTGAGCATGGGCATCTCATTTAGAGACACGCAGGTCAAATTGTGTGTATCTTTACGCCACATGCCTCGCACGCATGTGACTTCATTTATGGAATCCATATATAAATGGCTACATTCAAACTTCCTTATGGCGCGCTCTGTGCTGTGCCTCCAGAATACTTATTCCGGTCGCAAAACGGACGCAAACAGAAGCCATTCATTTGTGACAGCTACTGCGTCTCTGTGTACCGGCATGAGAGCGTAAACGAAAGTCGTTTACATACTCTGATTTTTTACACGTTTCAACAAACACTGCAGATTACACATCGCCCAAGTGTTCTCCACCGGGACTCATCTAAATTCCTTCATACATTCATAAGTTTTTCGGTTACATGCCTAAATAAATAAATATAATACTTAATACTCCATGTCCCGGGCAAAATAAGCATACGAACGATGATATTTAAAGTGTACATGCACAACTTACAAAGTCGAAAAAATAAGAAAAACTTTTGTTTAACAGTATTTTCACTAATATTTAATGTAAGAAGAGAGAACTTTTTGGGGTATTGGTTCTGAATAAAAAAAAAACCCTTATGATATTTAGCGGTTATGTTGTAATTTTGTATTTTTGTAAAATACGTCAATTAGTTAGTTAATTGCGACACACCTGGTAAAACTGATCTATAGTGTATAATTAGGTTGTTGAATGCGTTACCCATTTTATCGCTAAATACAAAAGCTTATACAGTACATAAATAAGTATGTTTTTATATTTTTGGCAACATTCGAAGTGAATTAGATACGACAAAGAAAATAGCGTAGTGGAATTTGGTTTGAATCGAAATAGAAGACATTCAGATTGTTCGACAGATACATACATAGCTCAGGTGCATATAATGGGAGTAAGATCTTTTCGAATATACACAAGTGCAAATGAAGTTTGCAAGCTTGGAATAAACTTTAAATGCATTCACGTATGAATTTAGGTTCTAAGCAAAATATTCAAACACTTTAATATGCAAAATGTGTGCGTATTTTCAATACTGTCTATGGCAGCTATTTTGTTCGCTCTCCTCGGAAAGGGGCGATAAAAAATGAGAAAAGTGCGGTGGCAACACCTAAAATGAGCTAATAGCCGCATTTATTGCCAAATTGCTATAATAAACAATTTGTTGAGCGTTTAACGAATTTTACTGCCGCCAGTAACAAGAATAACAAAGCCAGCCGCTGCATGGTGCGGCAGATGGGGGAGCAGTGGGCCAAATGCGAACGACCATAAAAATGTTTATGATGGATTATGCTCGCTCTCCTCCCTCCCCAAAAGACGCATATTCTCCCAGTCACTTGGTGTGCTTTATGGCACTTTCGATGTGGGACACGTTGAGGCAGGTTGCGGCTGTACTTGTGGTTGTCGACTTGGTCATTAAGTCTGCCGGCGTCACAGTCAAATTGTCAATGTCAAGGTGAAAAATGTAACACATAAAATGGCCATAAAGGTGTTGCAGATTGCCAGGCAATTGATTTCATTTCTGTCCGCGGGGGGAAGTGAGCACGCACCGAAACGAGGGGATATTAAAATTTTACGGTCAACGGCAGACGCTCGCCAGACACCGCAAGTGTATACAAATAGTACATAGAGTAACAAAGAAAGATACAGAGCGAAGGAGGAAGCGAGCGAGAGGGAGAGAGAGAGAGAGAGCAAAAGCATAAGACGGAGCGTGTGATAGAGAAACCCACATGCGATAGTAAAATAAAGCATTATTATTGCAACCATTAAGCGACGACCGACGACCGACGACCGACGACCGCCGACCAAAGACCGACATCGTTAAGTGCCGCTCAAGACGTTGACGGAAGCTGACGGAAGCGACCATAGACTCAACTGGGCTGCCCATGTCAGTCGTAAAAGCGAGGCGCGCGACTTAGACGCGCGCGAAGAACACAGCACTCCCCATCTTGCCGCTCCGTCCCTCAACCATCCATTCATCTACTTCATAGTAGAAGTCTGTGCAGCGGGTCTTCTTGCTGAGTTTTTATGAATGAAACTGCGATGCCTATGCTTTTTTTTTAAGGCAGCTGCTTGTTTTCTTAGTACAATCTTATTTGATTTAATGTCACATTATGTGCAGCAAGTGAACATCAGTAATTAAACCGTTTGACCTTAAAAATCAATAAATATTCGATGCCTTGTTTGTTTTTGAATGTAAATTATTCTTTATTTGCAGTTACTTTAAGTGCAACGTGCTGTAAAGGCCCTACTTACCTCTATAAAGATTTAAATAATATGATCATGTTTCAGTATTTGATAAACTAAGAAGTCTCTAATCGAAAGCTGTAGACATATAAACTTCTCCGAGTCGTAGGCAACAGACACACAATAAACAATCCAACATGTTTCATAAATATGGGAAGTGAAAACTACATCCGAGATTTAAACATAGGTTCTTAAGACAATTTGTTATGTAATTGAAAAATTACATCCATGACACGTGAATTTAAAATTGTGGCTCAATTCAATTGAATCTTTTTATTCTTAGTGTTTCCTAATAGAAACAATCCTATAAGTACAAATTTAAGAAAACGTTTGGCTAAGACACTACTACCAATCTTGGCCAAAGGTTTACATAGATAATTTTTAACTTATAGTAAAAATTTACCAAAAAATTAACCCATTAACAAAACATACATCAATGTGTATTATTATTATTTATTATTATTATTTATATATGTAGGCTATCTCGGAAAACCTAAAATTATAGTAAGATTTCTTGTATAAGAGCAGACACGTTTTCGGCTGTTTTAATCGAGTATCCATTCAACATGGCAGTGAAACACACATGACGCACACCAGACACCATAGTTGTCGTACCGCCTGCCATGTTGAGCTTGTTTTGTTTTTGCTGTCACCTCCAGCACTGCGCCGCCAGTTTGAGCTGGCGATAAGTAATTTATGCGGAAACACGTTTGCAGGGGACGCTTATCTGGCAGCCGTGGACAAAGAGAATACGGCCGGGCAGTGGCTTATTAATTTGCATATTTTCAAGTGACGACTAGTTGCGGCTAGAGACAGAAGAGACCTGCGGTTGTGGCTTGGATACCAGGGGCATTTATATAAATATGAGTGATTTATTTGACAATTTTCGACAGCATTTATGCAGACGCACTACGCATTCCAGATGAAGTTGTTAATGCCACGCCATGGGTAGACAAAAGTTTAATGAGCACTCCTAGTCGTGTCTGGCAAAAGTCTTCGGTATAGAAATAGAGCTAAGCCTCTGTTAGACGAAAGCAGAAGAGGTTTTGTCGGCTTACCGTCAAACAGAAAAAAAGTGAACGAAATACTTCTTCAAAAATTGCTTACCAAGTTTGCAGTGAAGTTTTAACTACATGCGGCTAAAACCCCCTTGCCAAAAAAAGGAAGAGCACAAAACGAATAAGCAGCTGCTACCAAACAACTTCGACGCGTGTGCTTGCGCATGTGCTTAATATATTCTTGCAAAGGAGGGATGAAACGTAGATATTGCATACACGCACACGCATCGACGCTATAACGCATGTGTGTGTGTGTGTGTGGCGGCCATGTTGGATTTGTGCGTGTGCAGCCGTCTCTTTTTTACAGCGGTTTCACTCGCTGCTGCACTAACACATGCATAAATAGTATTGTGCATGTGTGCGTGCATAGGGCACACCTACTAGACGCCCTCTGTCGGGTGCTCTGAAAAGCGGTAAGTGTGCTTACAAAGCAGCAGATGGCGACTGTTGGAATGGTTCGAGTATTGGCTAAGCAACTGACTGCTCCAAAAATTGGGTATTTTTCTCAATCAATAGAATAACAAGTTTAGACAGAATAAAACTATTAAAAACTGTTAATTATAAATAAAAGATTATAATAATACATGTCACAAGCAAATAAGATGTATTTCTTAAGCCAACAAAACATAATTGCACAGATTACACAATATGGTACTTCAAGACGCAAAATTTCCCTCATGCGTTTTTCGCACTCGCACTTCACATATTTTGGCCGGCTTCTGTTTAATTTCGAAAAAGTAAACACAGAGCTTTGCGTTTAGGGCGTCGTGCATGTATAACAAGCTTTGATGGAATGTACATAAACATATGTACATACATATATATATATACCAAGAGTAACGTAAATAGGTTATGTAAAATACTTAGGGACCATTCGTGGGCATGGACCAAGAAAAACCAACATCCCCTATGCGATGCCGGCAAGATAAAAATCAATATAAATATATACTTGTACATAGAGGAGGGAGTTAGCTTACTATACACATCTAGCTACATTGAATACACAAGAAATTTGCACAAACACACACGCCCACACTAAATGAGCAAATTTATGCGTTTTGCAAAGGATTATGGTGCAGAAAATTTAATTAATTTCATTTAATATTCGCAATAAAAGAAGCAACGAGCGACCACGGCCCCATTTGCATACCAACTGCGCAATATGAAAGTGGTCCGCCCTTTAAACCTTAAATCAATTTTCCTGTCCTGTACTGTCATTATCCAGCAGCTCAGATGCCACTCCCAGATGATAATAAGTGCAAATTTAAATAAAGGCACATTTGCATTTCCCTTACTTTATCAGCTTACAGATTAGTTTCAATATTTTTATAAATCTCATTCTTTACGCGAATGGCAGACCTTATAGAAGAGAGGGAGTCGGAGAAATTACTTGTAATGCCTCTTAATTAACTTATAACACTTCGCAAAAGGATAAAGTCGCTTCTCTTGAGCGTATTTCGGTACCTGATTCAAAGCCTTTGATAATTTGTTATTCAAGCTCAGAAAAATTGCTAATTATATTTCTCACAAGTAATATCGAAAACCCTGACGTTAAGTTGCACATGTTTTATAAATTGCCTTAATTTGTACTTTTGCGCAGTCAAATAAAGTCGTTTAGGCATTTTAAAGTGCATATTTGTGGATTTTTAAATTCAAAGTTCATTTGGTCTTAAATCGTCTTATTTATTTTTAATATATACATAACATATATATTTTTGCAATTTTTGGTCACTTTACTGATTATTCATAACATTCAAGAACGGATTAATATTTTGTATTATTATTATATATATATATATATATATATTTAACCGGAAGAGATCAATGCGTTTCTTTACATATATATATATATATTTCTTTACATATATATATAACACAAAGAAATCGGAGCTTTAAGATTTTTGATTTGAATACCATTTATAGCAAGTAAATACGCGGATTTGACATACAACCGGCCACAACGCGCTTTGGTGATTAATTTTCGCTATTTACATTTCAAATTTCAAAAAGTTACCCATTAAACAATGGTACTAAAACAAAATTTATAAGCATGTTTATTTTGATTTAATTTTGATTTAATTTTATGTGATTTTTTAAACAAATGATATGCATTTCATTCATCAATAAAAACCCTAATAAAATCGTATATATTTCTTAAAGAAAATTGTCTCTAATCGGATTTATATTTTTTTCTAACGAATTTAAACGATGGGAACGAGAGCAAAGCTTTATGAGCCCCAAAGCTTAGCCTCTTCATACATACACCAAATAGTTTCTGTTATACGAATTTAGTATTCAAATACATAAAATAAATCGTTCAAATTTTATTGCTTTTAGCTTTACGACTGTACGATTGGCTAAACAATTCCTTTATAACTTGGCATTTGTCAATATCTCTATAAATCTTTATAATAACAACAGTTATAAGAAAGTATATCTTGTTTTATTTTCCCAGCTAGGTATCCTAAATCTTAAATAATAGTACTGTGAAATGTGCAGGTAAATATCTAGATAAGCGATGATCGATTTTTTGTGATTGCCGTCGCTGTTTTTGAATTCATTGTGAATATAAGCGATTCGCTTTTGACTTAAGACAAAGAACTCGCTGCGGCGGGGCAGTGGTAAAGATTTTCAAGTAAAGTGAATGCTTTGAGAATTTTAATTGGGTTGCCCACTTTTGCATCTCAAGAACGAAAAACAGACATTTTGTCTGGTGCCCAGATTCGAGTTCGGGCTTGGGGCCTTAATTAAAGCATTTTAAAAATCACCAGGCATATTTTCATGGCCTGTCGGAGAAACGCATTAAAATGGGCGACGCGCTGCGGCTATCGGCATTGGCCCCACCCCCACCCCTCCATCCACTTTTCCCTCAGCACTAGTCCCAGTCACACGACTATCCATACCCATCTTCTTTGGCCCCTCACTTGACTCTTGTTATAAGTACATCACAGAACGATGTGGGATTCGATGTCTCTCGGCACCAATGCGAGATGGAGATGCGGCCGCCATTGAAATTCAAAGCGCAAACTTGCTGCATTTATCAGGCTCGGGCGACTCCTTGGATAACCGATCGGACTGCTTGACATGCATAATATCTGATACTGATACACATACACATACTATATGCCGCTCATATAGCTCGAATACCCTTGCTGAGTGTATTACAATTTTGTCGGGACATGTGTAACGCGTAGCTGAAGGAATCTACTATTCTATGGTAAATGTTGTTCATAATCATCTGAGTCTGCCTACCCTATCTAAATACTTGCAAATATACATTTATCACAAAAATCACCTGGATAAGACAGCCATATCATAAAAATGCACATATGAAATAGTTTCGCAAGGGTATTTCATCATCGGTGCGATGAAGATAACAAGTGTTCTTGCTCTTTTTTTTTGAATGTTTTTCAAAACAGTTTTATTTATGTTTTCCCTTCGCGCGTAAAAGGCACTTCAAAATGAGCAATGTCTCTGATATAATTGCCATTGCGCACACCAAACCCAAACCCAAACCCTATCCCAGTGCTTGGCACTTGACACTCAAGTGGCGGTCGTCTCCATGCCCATTCGTATGCCCCAGCTAGAGGCAGGCCTAAAGGCATTTTGATGGAAAACTGGATTTCAATATTTTCAAATGCGTTTTTGTCTTGTGTCTTGTTTCTGTTCATATTTCCAGCTCGTAATTTATCAACAAAATTCCACGCCGTCGCTGGCACATCAGTCACCAGACCCAGATCTTAGTCCATGAGTTGACCCACGGCTTATCTTGCCCATTTCTTCACATTTGAAAGCGGTGGAAACTTGAATAAGTAAATAAATGATTTTGTGTGCCTATTTCTGGTTGGCGGAGGCAGCGAGGCAGCAACCAGCCTTTGTGGTTGGTGTTTTGTTTTATTTTTAATTTGGAATGCGGTAAATATTTATTTCACTCACCCGGGTGTCAGCGGAGACTCCACTTTTTTATTTATTTTTTGTTTTTTGTAATTCAGTTTTTACGATCCTGAATTAACACATGTTTCGTTCCCGTTAACAGATTGGTGCCCCATTTCCATCTGATCTCTTGGGAATGAGACTGGGCCTTCTCTCATAGCATCATGCTGTACATTTTAATATATCTCTGGACACATTAACATGCAGAAATCTTATCGAGACAGCTCAGTTGTCAGATGCTACTTTACAAGATTTCAAAACGTCAAACTCGCTATTTACTCCAAGATAATTAAATTTGGAAAGCAATTGAGTTACAATAGTGGATTAACTTTTCTTAACAGCAGCCTTATCTTTTTTATTAAACTGTGGTAAGTGGAAAGGCTAAAATTTTCCATTTCCCTAAATAAAGAAAATATTTTTGTTGCCTATGCCAAAATACTTTTTTTTAAATAGTTTAATTTAACAGTTTTGCAGCCTTTCTTAAATGTGATTTCATGTATATAACATTATTTACACAAATCTTAATCGATCTTAATTATCGTATTGCTTTTATAAGCTTTCTGAATGGCTTACGAAATGAAAGGTAATTTAAATTTTGGGTAAATCTGTTTCTTATTGTTTTAACGGAATAACGGAAGAGTTAGCCAAAGTCGTATTAGCACAAATTTATGGATAAGCGGCTAAGTTATAGACTAACATGTAAAAAATCGATTCTGTTTGTGCCAAATTTTGGAAGTAACAAAAATAAAACCTTTTATTATAATAAATTCAGTAGATATTCATCATAGCTATTATAAAAGTCACAAACATCAGTAAATATATGCGAAAGTTATGGTTACATAAAAGATGTGACTCTTTAAAATAGGCCTAAGATAGTTGGAAGTGCTCGACTAGCTCGACATACGCTGAATCCAGAATCAAGCTGACACTGCAAAGAATTTAGCTTACTTTTTCTTCCAACCTTTAGTAAATGCTCTCGTGATTTATGGAATTTTCCGCATTCAAATGTGTGAAATACCAAAACTTAAGACTTTGCCTACAAAAATTATTCTATTTTTCCTATATTAAATGGTTTCAGGGTGTAAAAAACACTACATTTTGAAACAATAAAAATTAAAAGCTTTACCCCAGAAAAGTCGACCAAAAGAGATGCAGCAAAAAATATGTGTTTGCAGCCAACTTCAAAAAATGCTAGACTTCTGACATTAACTATATAGTTGGTGTTATAAAAATGCCACCCGCAGCTGTGGAAAATTGGTGTACGTCTGTTGAATGAATGTTTTTGTTTATTCATGGGTTTTTCCTATTTGCCTATTTGCTGCACTCCGATTTTTTAAAGCTCTCCATGAAAATGCAAGTATTCTTATTGCACCAAACTGAAAAAGTCGACCCTAAAGCGAAAAACGGTTACTTGCAACATTTTGTTTTTCAACTGATCTCCTTCAAACTTATTTTTAAGTTACGAGTGGGAAACCAAATGTTCCCACTAGGGAAAAACTGCTTGAAGACTGCTGCGAACTACAATCAAAAATTAACCGGGTAATACCATACAAATATTATATATCTCATGATATATAAAGCAAATCATTTAAATATGATATTTATATGCTGTAAACCTAAACCTACTGAAGCAATATTAAAATATATTTATATAAACCAAACTTTATAGATCTTTCGGATAAGTCCACCCTCTTCTTGCAGCCAGTATATATGTCGGAACCAAGCAGCTTCTTATATATCATATAGTTCTACATTGCTATATATAAGCAAAAGCTTATTCACATATTATACACTGCATCCAATGCCTGGGAAGAACCGGTAAAAAAAATTGACTCCTGCAAGATATCTTGACCAAAATCAACAATTACGAATTTCCCAATACTTTCTCACCATATTTGCAATCTCTTTCACCTTACACTTTACTATTAATGTTTTGTCTTTTCTCTCTCTTTTAATTTTTATTTATTTATCCTTTATTTTTTCCATTTTGAAAAAAATGTATCCGTCTTTTGTCATTTCTTCTATCGATAAAGTAGTTAATATTATTTACAACCAATTCGTATTTAGCTTAAAATAAATAAAAATACAAGAAGTATTCCGCGTTTCTCAATTGCAGCTCGTGTCCAACATTTTGTAAATTCCTTGTTAAATTCCTCCTTAAGTCTTGGAAGCCATTTTTATTATTCCGTCGTAGTACATGGAGTCCATCCTCCTTCTTCAACAATGGAGATCGTCGTATAAAAAATATGGTCCGCGATTAGCTGATATAAAATAATACGCAATTTATAAATAGTCAATTTAAAAAAAAAAAAACTTCATTGTTATTATAGCTGAAGTTGCGGTTTTGTATGTTAAATAACAAGAGGAGGAGCTATTCAATTTTCATGGGAGTTGCAACAAATGTGGCCATTAAATAAATTAAGTTGGACATTTATGTTCGGGGAATAGCAGAAGCGACCAAGACAAAAGCAACCCTTGACTGAGGCCCTTTAAAAACTTTGCCGAGTGCTTGCCCTGCGCACCTGAGAAACGGGGTGGCTTCTTGCGATTTTTAGCTTGGCAGTCATTAAATAAGCAGAAAGGGGAACATTTCAAATCAAACTGGGCGGGATAGTCTTCAAATTCAGCCAAATAAAAGAGTTTTGCAACATGGCCATTTACCGTTTCCCGCTTTCCGTCCGCCACTTTCACTTTTCCAGTGAGCAGTCCTTGATTTACGGCCGTGTCCTTGCCGATTTGCAGACTATAGACTCTGAGCGTGCTTGTACCTGTGTTTTTTTTTATGATTCTGTCCGATGAAATTGCAACAATTGTCACCGAAATACCGACAACCCTTTGTGAGATGCTGACGCGCCTGTAACCTGACGAGAGGTAACCGCGACGAGGACGACGACGCAGTTTCGCTTCCATAGAAATCGTTGAAAACGCAATATCTAGCTTTGACCCAGAGACAATGCGTCTCAGCTGCCTGTTTGACAGCAATATAAATCCGTTTATGCCGCATTTCATAAAAAAGATGCGAATTTTTTGCTGAACCGTGAAAATTTTGTGTTTTTGCTACAACAATTTTACGCTCGCAAGGGTACGTATTCGTAGATCTAACCCTAACCCCTTCGCGGCTGGGCACCTGATATCCGAATGCTTTCATTAGACTCCGGCGACACAGGTATGCGTACGGAGTTGTACAAACCACTCACGCCTTAAGCCGAGTCTTGCAGCGAGCTATAATCCTAGTAAAAATTGGTCTTCAAATCCTGCGAGTTACAGGACATTACGTACATCTTTTAAGGCGCCTACGAAGTTCTATTTGAGGAACAATTTATTTTTGTAATTAGAAATGCGGGCGGTCGCTCCAAGTTGAATTAATGGTCTTACAATTCAGCGCCAATGAGTCCTTAATGGAAAATTAGGGCGACCCCGGCTAGGCAAGTCCTCATGCAATTACATTAAGTCCACGAGCCTTTTGCTCCTGCTGACTTTCACTTGCTTGATTATCATTATCACTAATACATATTAGAGGCTTTCGATTTTGTGGCCAATCAACGACAACGGCGTCCATCTGCATATGCAACCAATATGAAGCGGGTGCAGGAGGCCATGAAAGTAAATTGATCAATTGGGTAAAATTAAGCTGACGTTCTTCTCTGCCTTTTCTCGATACCCATTCCGGTGGCTCGACCTGGGAGTTGCGTGTCAATTTGTAGTTGATTTCATTAATAAATAAGCCAGGGCATGGACACGTCTTACGTGGAGTACTGTTTTTGCTCTGTCTTTACTTTTGGGGATGGTGGCTATAGGCAATGCAGCGTTGCCAGATGGCCGAAAGAAACAAAGATGACAGCAGAGAAAAAAATCTGTTGACTTATTACCTGTTAATTAATCTGTTGATTATTTGACTTATAAAAATCCTGTCCACAGATCAAGATGTCAACATAAAGCAATCTACTAGGCTAAAAACATTTTCTTAAAGTTATTAGTTAAATGTAAAATAATAGAAACTTAGCAACATTCTAGTTGTTCGATATGCATTACGAATATCTCCATTGCCTTCAACTGTCCCTTTTCTCACCCACTGTAGATTCTTTGTTTTGCTTTCGTTGCTAACATATCTGCCATCATCATAAATTGCATGAAAACTATCTATCTTTTTTGCGAAATTGAGCAATTTTATTAAAATTCCAAAACCGGCAAAGGGGCTTCATCTAGCAGCAGCATCTCACAGCAGTCCCCATTTATATACGATACGTATAAGTATATGTATTGTGTATATAGGTACTAGTATACTCGCATATATGTTGTTTTAACTTCGCGGGCGAGGACTGCAGGGAACAGGACGAAACATGACAAGCAGGATGAGGGCATCCTTGATAGTGCCATATTGCACAAATTGCCAGTGTGTGTGTGTGTGAGAGAGTGTATGAGTGTGTGCGCTGCTGCTGAAATTTTTCCTCCAAGTCGTCGTTGCTTTTATATAAACATGAGGCAAGATTAGATACAAATTACACCACAACTTTCAAGGTGGACTTCCTCCGTGCTGTCCGCCTTCTGTTTTTCTGGCAATTTGCACACCTTGTTGGTGCTTCTGCTCCGTCTGCTGCTGTCGTATCCATAAGTTACAAGCACAAAGTATCTGTAGCCAGGCTGCAAAAGCAACAGCAAGAGCAACAAATGCAATAACAAGAAAAGTTTCGCCCCATGCTCGGTATAAGGAAAATGGCAAACAACCAGCTACGAAGGGAAAGGAAACAGGAGACAGGCAAATGGCGTAGCCTGAAGGATGAACAGGGGAAGTGGGGGACAGTGCCACGCCCAAGTGGGGAGCAGCGCCCAAGCTGTGAGAGTTTTTATATATTTATTTCTTTCATACATTTTTGCTAGCGATTATAAAATGTACGAAAAAATAAAAACTATGGCAAGGCCGTGGGGATCCATTCGCCATCGCGTGGGCCTCGCAATATAACCAAAATAATTTATGTTTGCCAAATTCAAACTTTACTTATGTTTGCAAAAAGTTTGCCCTCGCCCTTTCTTGTGATTTGCTACAGGGGCGCGTAAGGCAGAGCAGATGACTGTGTGGGCGGATGCGAATGCCAGTTGATGGGCGCGTCCTCGGCCACCACCCCTCTTAGCTCGAGACTCGCTCGGTGGCACGTTTGCAAAATGGCCCAATGCGTGTCTGGAATACATTTTCGTGTTTGCCAAAAAGAAATGAGAGCTAAGCAAAAGTTTGGGCAGGGCTTCTGGCCCCACTCCTGCGCCTGCCCATTACCTTGCGCCCGATGCTCCCTTCTGTGCATTTGTACATATTGTCGGTTGTATTTTGATGCAAAGTTATGTGAAATTGTTTGCCAGCCAACATGTGAAGAGGCATTTTGTGTTTTCTTAAATTTAATGTAGCTTTACTCCCGAATAATCGAATGTGCGTGCTTAAATTCATGCTATATGTGTTCTTTCCTGTTGTTGCTCTGGGTGCTTATTGTCCGTTGTGTACATAGTCACAAGTCCGGACTCCACATAGGCACATATACAAGCACGTTGTTGTCGCGGCCCACCGTTGAAGACTTCCCTTAACCCTAACCATTTCCGCTTCCAAACCCACGCCCAAGCCTGGACCAGTACATACCCTCGCGCAGGACATAATGTTAATTGCGGCCTTTGTTTGGGTTTTCATTCATTGTCCAGCTGTTGCCCCCCCACTTAGTTTCCACCCTGCAAATTATTTAAATTTCTGAAAGAGTTTTATTATAATGTTTGGCTAAACGGCTTCAAATTTCGCTTAAGAGATTGAATAAGAATAAGATAACACAAGCTTCTTGGTGTAAATATAAATTTTCAAATATTCTATGAACAAAGGAGTTCGATTTTGACTTGAAACAAAGTTCAATACCTTTGATATATCTGATTCTAAATTTGTCGGTCTAGGTGCGCATATTTTAAACAGTGGTAATATCAGATAAAAATTTGAAATTATGTATTAAATTGTATACATACTTTATTTAAGTATTTCAAACTGGACACGTCAAAATAGGATTTTATGATTAATTATGTATGTATGTCCATCTATCTGTGGGTCCTTCCGTCTTGATTAAAGCTTTGATCTGTGAAACAATAAGAGCCAGAGATTTACAATTTTGAATGTATGACCGAAGCTAGAAGCATTAAATTTGTAGAGTAGAAACAGTTTCAAAATATTTCGCTTTTTTGTTTGTACAAACACGTTTTTAAACTTTTGCGTTTGAATTTTGTATGTATATATATTTATATTTGTGCCCTGAAATTTTATTGAAAGAATGCTACAATATACATCGAAGTATTTCAAGAAAACATTTTCCTTTAGGCTAAGGGAAGAAGAGGCACAACAGCAGCTGAAGCTGTATTTATATACGGAAAGTTCGCATGTTTGTATTGACAGCCTAGCGCTGGGTTCAGTGTATCTCCTAATAGAGTATTCCGGATTGGAAAGTCTTGTTTTGAATATTATTTGCTTTTTTGTATATTTAAATTGCTTAAGGAAAACTTCCTTATCACGGAGAAAATACCAGAATAGGTGACATATGCGGCAGGACGTTGAAAGCACAGGGCAGAGACAAAAACAACGACAGAATTTAAGCCGAAAACTGTCAACTTAAATATCGTAAAACGTCGATTGTATTGCTAATAATTCTGCGCATTAAAAACACAAAGTTAATGTGCCTAAAGCTGCAGTTGCGGGACCTGTCCGTGCCAGCGCCGTCAAGGAGCACAACTGGGACGCGAAAGTATCGGAATGGCAGACCTCCAACCCGGCGCTCCTTAATGGAAGAAGACTTGAACGCTCGTAAAAGCCAGTGGGTTAGGGCAGCGGGAAATGAGAATGGGAATCGAAACTGTGGCTAACGAATGCACCGCTGAGCACTTAAATAATGGAATTTGTTTGTTTTGTTTGCCGGGCAGTGCGAGGAGCAGGCAGTCGCAATCGCCGTCTCTGTTGCACCTTCTCTGCATCTCTCTTTTGCCCACAGAGCTACTATCCCGGCATGAGCATGTGCATCTGGCACACTTACCGCGCAATTAATGGCGCATTTAAATGTTTAATTTAGGCGCTTACAGTCCACTCATAAATGGCAGCCAATCGCTGGGGGGATCTCTTACCATATGGAGATTAAAAAGTCTCTTGCTCTTATCCAATTATGTCTAGATGCAGTTGCATATAATGTGCTTTTAGCTGTAGTGGTGCTCGCTTGCGTTTTGATCTTCAGACCGGATCAGCAACTGGTCCTCGAAAACTCACACTCAGCTAAGAAAGCAAAGTCTAGCTCACGACTTTTTATATGCCATTATCGAATTTGCATTAATGTCACATATGTTTGACGGCTTTTGTTTCGCGTGTTTAGACATTTTGCATACAAATCAAACGAAATGAGTTCATTTGACTCCATTTTAGGCGCTACACTGTGGTCGGCATTGTTAACACTTTAGATATCCAATCATCATCTAGAATAAGTATCAATTTGATTATTAAAATTATTGCATATGATGAGCTTGAATAGATATGACCTAACATACTTATATGGGGATATTTGACACCTTTCGCACCTTTCCCTTGTCCTCGCCTGGAATCAGTTGGTCACTTTTATACTTTAGCATTATTTTTAGCATTTAGAAACTTCTCGTCCAACCAGTAAAACCTGTCATAATACAATACAAAACATTTCTTTAATAGAACAAATCATTTAAGGCGTTTAATTATATCGTATTTTTAATGAGACACAAAACATTATTTTAAACAATGTCGAGGCAATAAAAAAGCTCTTTAAATTTATAAAAAAAAATCATAGCTTTTTGTAACTTCTGAGTTTAGTGCAAGTATAGTTTCAACTAAGAAAAATGCGTACGCCAGGCGTCAGACATTGTGTGATCGTAAAACAATTTGTTGCAAAATTCAGCTATCGACCAGAAAATTGCCCTATTAAAATATTAATCCTTCCTCTTGGCAGTTGCCGCTTCCAACTGTAAAATTGTATATGTTTGTCTTAACCAAATGCCAGGCCCAGGCACGAACTCAAACCGCCTCTGTCCTTACCTCTAAATGTATGCGGAACTCTCGCTTTCGCCTTTAGAGATCATAAATTAGTTTTAATGGTCGCTTGCCGTTCATTTTACTGCAGTCGATGTTGTTTTTGTGTAGTCTTGCAAATAAAGTGAAAATCTAAAAAATCGTCAAAAGGCGAACAATTTCTTGGCCTGTTTTGTCTTGACTAGTTTCCTCTGCGTGCGTCGCTCGTCAAAGAGTTGCAATTATAAATTTTAATTGCACACTGAATGCTCGGAAAAAAGTGGTTGTCCCTGGCCCTTCTAAAGAGGCACATAGTTGCCTTAAGGGTTGACTTAATGGTCTTTAAAGGAACATTAAATGCTGAATTATGATTTCGAGGTCGCCAAATGAGGCACGATGGATTTCTGCTGCAAAACGTGGGCCGCTTGGCTATTAAAAGACTTGAGCATACGAGCTATCTGAGTGAAATTTCTCAAATGCCGCACATATGTGTACACATTCAAACTGAAGTATATGTATATGTGTAAATATGTTTATGTATCTACACATATCTATATAGCTTTGCATATTCATGCATATATCGTATATTATTCATGACGCATCCAGACACTTGCTGATGTCTTCTGACAGAAGGTCGTCCGCAGGAATTCAAAATGATGCCTGTCAGTTGGCTTGTTATTTATTGCAGTTGCATGCCCGGGAATCGACTATCTGACCACTTACATACCCTTGTCTCTGTGTCTGCTACGTCGAAATCCCACTCGCAATCGACAAATGCATTTAAAAATTCAATTTCATTGTATTTTCTGTGGCCTGTTGCAAAGCACAAGTCCAGCCCCAGACTCGAGCTCAAGCAATCGTCCGTCTCCCTTCTTAATGCACGTTTAACAATATATATTATATATACACACATATATCTGTCAGTGTTTCTTTTTTTACGAATTAATACGAGTTTCATGTGGACGTTCGGGCTGAACAAGAAATGCATAAATTACTTCAGCAGACTTGATTTCCCCGATTTTGGCTTGCACCTCGTTATTCCACATCGAATCGTCTAAAATCTTTGTCTTAAAGTAATGCAAATAATGGTCTCCTTTGGCTCGTCGTGCTCATCCAATTCGCTGACAAGCTTCTGAGCAGTTCAATGTGCCTCGATTGACCAAAGGCGAGACGCTTAAATGACCCAAAGAATTTCTTAAAATTGCTTGCAAATGCGAATATTTATACGCATCAATTGCGATATTTTTGGACGGACTTTATAAATGTATGCTTTATAATTTTTTTATAAATCTTTTTCCTCTCTTTTTACAGACTTGGCGGATGGATACTTTACGCACAGGTGAGTCTTCTTTGTCTTTGAAAGAGAGCAAATTAACCGAATAATGAAGGCATTAAACCATAGCAAAAGTAAGGTGCATAGCATAAGGTTGACCAAATATAAAATACGACAACTCAGTATACTTTACTTTAAAACCCTTGGAAAAAGTAACTATGTCGAAATCTTTTTAAATTTATGAAAAAAAAAAATTATTTGAATTTATAATATTTCTATTAGTAGATGCTACGCAATTCCCCTTGAAGATTGGTAACAAAAAAAAAGTGTAAAACATTTATATTTTTGGCATTGTTAATTTGAACGTGGTTTTCTTGCCATTTATGCAGCTACCTAGTATAAATGCAGAAGAAGCTATTTTCTACTCCATAAAGAATAAATAGTTGAGTTAATTTAGCCATGGCCGTCTGTCTGACTGCCCGTTCGATTTTCTGCCATTGATACAAACGCGTCGATCTCAGATCTAAACGAGCGATCGCATCTCAAACTTTTGCACGAAAAAATAAGGTTTTGTTGATAAGACATCCCTTTTCTACGAAATCGATAAAAATCGAATTTCATATGCTTATGCAGGTCGCTGAGCTCATAACAGCCAGAAACATCAAAATTATATTGTAGATTCTTATTTCGAAAACACTTTAGAAAGATACAGCCTTGCGCCGCTACAGAAGAGTCAAGGGATACGGGCTTTAAGGAAGATAAACATAGCTGCAGCACCTGGTGCTAGAATGAGTGTTACGGCAGCTTGTCGCCGGGTAAAGGCTATCTATGAGTCGAGCACTCCCGACTGGAATACTATTCCTAGCTTTCAAACGATAATTTTAGCAAAGTCGAGTTGTAAAACCGGGAACATCGCAAAATGCCTTCGACCAAATAAAAGTGTTTAGGCTTGACACATATTTTACTGCCACGGACATACAAATAGTGTCATGACATTGTTATATGCGAGTATTCTTAGGCCTGCAAGTGATTTTTATAAACTGGTTGTTTTATCGATATTAAAGTTCTGATCACAAGTACGGTTTTGGTAACAGGCTACAACTTTGATTATAATGTAAAGAAACATGAAAATTGTTAAAAAAAATAAAATGCCAATATTCTTCCGATATGCTTTTTGATATCTTGTGATAAGAAAATATTGCGAAATTGTTTATATAAACTGATAATAAGCATAAGAAGAATAAGAATAAGAAAATTCAAGCATGAAGAAAGCTGCAGTGAATCAAATCGTGCCGTTATAAACATTGAATATATAAATAATATATATTTATATATTTTTATACAAATAGGTAAACATAGAAGAAAGTGCCCAATTTACACACGACTGGAGCGTTCTTATTTAAGTTATGAATCTACATATTTAATAGATACAAATAACAATTTAATTGCGTTTCTCTTTCTGCACCATCTTTATATTGCGGTTGTATTAATATTTTGATGCGTGCCATCAGTTAGAAGGGAATAAAGCACTCTGCTTTGTGTCAACATGACCAGACCCAGTGGAGAGTCCATTTGCCAAACGCCAAGCTTACGTGCTTCCAATTTGAAGAATCGGGCCGTAAATCGTTAATTTTATAGTTAATCGATACCCATTTATGCGCATAAGCCTCCGCTGCATATTAAATACATATGGGTGAGCATTTGAGACGCTATGCCTTACGATATAAATCTGAATGGGCGACAGACAATGTCGAGGTGATTTATTTGTTTTTAAAGACGTGTTTAGCGCACAGTTTCTTAATTGCCCAATCGTAAAACCGACTACACATCATCATAAAAAACGTCGAAGATGGTGTTCTTCTGGCTGATAGCGTACGAGCCATGAGCCAAGAGATAACATCAAAAGTTCAAGCGAACGGGGAAATTTATATGTATATTCATATTCTATTTATACTATTTACACTATTTATACTAGTCTAACTATGTACATGCATACGTATATATGTATGTATGTCTATATGGATAGGGACAGTTCTAGTTCAATGCAAAAAATGGAATATGGAAATAGATACGACGTCAGTCAAAATCCCAGCAATGTGCCGGGCGAGCAATCGCGCTGCGAGTACCAGCTAAAAACCACCCCAAGATGATGCAGACAAGAGAAAAAACCATAGCAAGGAGAATGAGAGCAACAAGCAGAGCGAGAGCGAGAGCGAGAACGAGAACGAGAACATGAATAGGAACGACAAGTCGTGGCAATGGCAATGACAGCAACAACAATTTAAGTATTTCCAAAATCAAATATGGCCGAATTAAATTCTCTGGGTCTGCTCTTTGTGCGCTCCTTCGCCGCGGCCATTGTTGCCATGACAACCGATTGCATTCCATTGGGGATGGAGTAGAGGAGAGGGACAGGGAAGTTGACGGGTCTGGCAGACGATACCGGAGCGCCGCATGCTCATAAATTCATTTGGTGTTTTTGCTGTTGTTGCTGCTGTTGTTGTTGTGTTTGTTGTCAAGTAGGTTTCTCGTTTCGTTATCTCTGGTCTCTGTCGTTGCCGGTTTTTTCCTCTTGCACCGTGTCTCCCCTTGTGAAGTGCGTCGATTGCTGAGGTTCAATGGCTTCTCAGCCGTCGACACGATCAACAAAATGTCGCTAATCCAATCCATCTGGATAAAGCCAAATATCAAAACTATATTCGAATTAAAAAGCTTTACCATCTTTATGCAACTGAAGCGGCAGTTACCAATTCCTTAATTCAAACCAAAATCATCAAACGATTTCAATTCATATTTAAATTTATCAGTCATCAGTATTTTGTTCGTTCTAATTAGAATACCTTCATCCCTTAACTTCGCTTATGAGATTTTGCGCAGTCAATGGAAACGCATTGCACTTTAGATGCGGGCCTTAAGCAATAGATGGCGCTGAATGAGTTGCAAAAACTGTCGCCTACAGCGCTGTACAATGTTCAGACATTGCAAGGAATGGGTTTTATTATCTGAATAGCCTGACTGCTATATTTTGTATTATTTATTTTATTATGGGCATTGTTAATTAAATAATGCTTTCAAATAATTATAATAATATGCAAGTAACACTATATATATTGTATGTAAAATATACATGCGAGACGCGCTTTATCCTAAATTGTTACACATTTTATAAAGTTTTTGCCATATAACAACAAGTAGTGTGATATATATATGTATGTGTGTGGAAATGTATCTAAAATACAGCAGGTGACTGGAAAGAGCTTTGCATGAACGCGTTGATAAAGAACTACTTTTGAAGGCAGAGACACCAAATCTGAATTTGAATCATTTTCTCGTATATCATTTAAATTGTCAATATCCGAAAGCGATCTCCGCTTTACAAAGGTCGGCGATCAAATAAGCTTGGTTAGCAGCCGCTACGCCGACAAGCTGCTGGGGCATCCGAGCGACCCCATCAGCGCATCCAAAGGTTGCACCTGGGACACAGCGAATAAATACTTCACAGTATTATGCTATGTCCTTCTTCACAAACAATGCAAATATCCCAACATTAAAAAAAAAATGACAATAGCTTTTCCCGTGCCACCTTAATCGATAAAAATTTGGGTGTATGGGATATTATAGCTTTGATATGCATGAATTCTTCTAGATCAACTTGAGGAAATTCAAATAAGAACAAATAAGGCATTCAACGTCCTTAAGCTAATAATAATAAAATGATGATTAATTCACATATAATTTTTGTATATATATTTTTTATTGTGAATTCATTTTTGGCAACAAAAAGTTTTCTTTATTTTATTTTTAAACTTGATCTGAAATTTAAGTCCAGCAACAGAGTGCTAGAAATATTTATTAAGGGGTAACTATTAATATGCACAAAATACAATTGCACCCAAATGGACTTAGACATATTTTTATTTTTCTCTGTACCCAAAAGCGAATATTAAAAATAATTGTAGTATCTAAGGAATGGCTCCTGGCTCTAGTCAGCTGCTTCTCATTGTCATCTATGGCTAGCGTCGAAGAGAGGCGTCCATCGAAAGCCACAGCAACAGGTTGCCTAAAAAGCGTTACCCATGAGCCAAGAAGAATAAAAAGCAAGAGAATGAAATAAAACACGTTTGATTATAACATAAACTCATATATAATTTAATTTTCGGCCAATTTAGTTAAATCGGATATAAAATATGTAATACATTTATTATATAAATTCAACAGTTTTTCCAGTATTTACAAAGTGTTTTGGTGTTTTATTTTAATGCAATCTAAATATATCACACATCCCGCGTCGCTGGTGTTTCCTCGTGTTACGTATACTGAAGGTATACCGGATAGGATACACTCAGGATACATTCAGTATACGTATACGAAGTTGCACAGGCTCTACAATAAGTGCTCCGCTATAAACACCTCAGTTTTCATCGCACGCTCTTCAAAACCAAATAACCAAATAATATTCGTGCTGCAGGCAGCTACCGTTGTTGACCCGACGATTGCACGGCCGCAACTGAGTCGCCGGCAGGAAAAACTAACCGTCGAGTCCCCGTAATTGTCGTTTCCTTCTTCGTACCGGCTCGTGTCCGTGTCGCGCCGTGTCGTTCCGTGCCGTGCCGTGCTGTGCCGTGTCGTGCAGTGTTTCGTTTACCAGCATTTTCCCCTGAGCAGAACCAGGAAACGCTTCCGGCCTGCGCCTTTGCCGCCGCCTGTCCTTCAATGCAGTTGATGTGGCCGTTTTGGTGGTTGCTGACAATACCATAAGTACCAAGAGTCTAGCATATGATTTAGATAAGACCTAGCACTTGTCCCACAGTACGCGCTGCGGTTCATGGATTTTGCATCTGCAACCTAGTGGGGGCATTTTGCGTAGTTTTGCCGCCTTAGCTAGTTCCTGTTAGCGGGTGGAAGAAAATAGAATGCAAGATTAACAATAATAAGTTTAACAAGTTACTGCCAGTGAATTGGTAATTTCGCCTTCTTTCCAGTGGGGCCAGACTTCAACTAATACCGCAACTATTTCGCCAATCGCGATAATCACCCTTTGTTGGAGCTGGCTGTAAGCAACCAACACACAGAAGCGGAGCCATGCCGAAACTCGCTTCGACTCGCAGCTCCGACACAGGCTCACGCGCACGTCCTTCCATTTAATCCAAGATGGCAAACACACACACACGATGCAGACGAAAGGCAGCCAGCCAGCCAAACTCTCTGGCAATCTAATGCCTAAGATAAAATTCAAAATTTATAATATTGCACAGTTTGGCCGATATAAAACGTAAACTTATGGCTCTCGAGGAGTACGTGCCATATTTTTCTGTGTATATGCCACAGCCAGGCGCTTCTAAGAGAGTTTGTCGAGTCTTGGGCTGTGCCCAACCCTTGCCAGCCAAGAGTCACGAGCTCGTTATGCTTGTGAGATTTCATTTGTGTTCAGCTAAACGTTCAACCCCCAAGTACTGTGGGCCAAATAGAGCAACAAGCAGCTTCAACCCGAGTGTTAAGTGGAACACTTCTTCAACAGTTAATTCGTCTATAGATACTACCAATATATCCATTGAATTTTGAACTTGAATACCCACTTAATATATATAATGCTCGACTGCTTGAAGATTACTAACTTAAGTTAGCAACGATCTTATAATTATAAAGCCTTCCATTCTACCTATGACTACACATCACAGTGTGTGTTTAACTTTTGGATACATTTTAATTAATATAGAAATAAACGTCTAGGAGAAAATACAATTTGTTCAAACATTGTCGTACTCTATCCATCGTACACAGTGCTATGTAAATGTATATGTGTGTATGATTTTTTGTTTGCTTAGGGACACCACCGCCACGTGGGTTAGGCGATATAATGGGGGTTGCCGGTTCTAAGAGGGAGGCGTACACACAAAACGGCCGTTACAACCATAAATATCATTTTTTTATTGGCACAACCCTAAATGGCGGCATTTGGCAAAGCAAATTCCAATGCAAAACGCTCCTCCGCTCACGGGGAAAAAGTGGCGCACAAACCGACGGGCTCACGGGCAAACGGACTGACAAATGGACATATATATATATAGGCAGAAGAGCCCACATAATGAGCGCCAAGGGCGGTTTTATCCTGAACATGGGATTGCAGTTGGGGTTGGGGTTGGTGATGTACGTTCTTGTCGCCAAGCACACCTTTAAGAATGTGCGACAATTTGCAAACGCAACGAGCCGTGGGAGCCAGCTGGGAGTGGAGCCGGAATCCGTTTGGCCACTGTACGAAAATCTCTCGCCTCAGAAATCGCAATAGCACAATGGTACGTGACTTTATGGCAAACGGCTGCCCGGCGTTGCCAAGGTGCTAAACGCTACTCATGAGCACCGCTGCGAGGCGTTGGAGCTGCAACAACGTTTGAAATTTGCACGCTCCATTCAGACGGGCAGCAGCAACTGAAACTGAAACAGAGGGTCCAACCAACAGACAAAGACGTCATAAACGAGGGGAAACAATTGCTTGAAATTACAGACGCCATTGCGCCATTGTTGGCAGCTGAAGCATACAAAAGCACCAAACCCCAACCCCAACCCCAGTCCTCTGTTAAATTTACCCATGCTTCCCACCTGCCCTAGACCGCCGTGCTACCCCATAGAGGCCATCAGCGCTTTCAGTTGATTGTTTCCTCGCTGGGCGGCAGCCCAACCGCAGCCACACCCTTCAAGCGCCGGCCCACCCACATCGATTGTAAAGTCTCCCAAGCTCGGAGCAACTGCTGCTTGATTCTGCATTTGTTACCTCTGTACTGTGTGTGTGTCTTTGGGGCGTAGTTTCCAAATGAGTTTTTTCTCTCTACTTTTGAATTCTCAATTATTTTCTTGCATTTGGATTTTGCTTTCTTTTGAAGTGAGACTGCGCTTACATTTTTTATCACTCATTGGGGATTATGGCTTGATGATTGAAGTTTAATTTAGTTTTTAAATTAGTTTCACCTCAGGCTGACTTTGACTGCAAACGCTAAAGTAAGCGTAGCGAAATGATTCTATTGAATTTAAGATCGGAGAACAAGCTGCCAGCAGAGCTTAAACAGCAGCAGGCAAAAATATAAGGATACTTCGTTTAATTTCGCAAATCATCTAATCAAATGTCGCATAATGAAAGGCGCTCATAACTGAGTACAGCTGCCGCTCGACCGTACTCATAATCAAACCTATTTGATATCAGAATAATTTAAATTTGGAACCTTCACTGAGTGCATGGCAAATGTGTTTGCGGTTCTCGAAAGTACAAGTACAACGGGTCCCGTTTGTAGTCGGGGAGGCATCTGCACTCATGGTGCGTGCTGGATGCTGGGCAATATTGCGTCAATGACTTGCAAACAAAATTAGAAAAGGCAACCCAAGCGGTGGGTAGCATATGCTGCTGAGTGCGCGCCAGAATCAAAATGACTACACAAACTTTTCAAATTAGATTTCACACCCAAACTAAACATAAGGCGTTGGTCCTTAGACGGCGACAGACGCGGAGGTGGAGGGGCAACGATTAAGACGTCGCATTGACTCCGAGGATGGGCGCCAGTCTAAGCTCAAGATGAACGCAACGCCACACTTGCGCCCAGAGTTTGCCACCGTATTTGTATTTCAGTTTAATGGGTTGGATTGGTCGGTGGCGTACAGGCAACAGCCGTGCTAAGCCCCAAGTGGAAACTCTGAAATGGACACAATTAGTGTGCAATTTATGCGCCATAAAACTGCAGCAACAACAGCAGCAGCTGACAACGAGACAATGATTGTCTTTTGTCTGCGCCACAATTTGAATGTTCAAATAAGAAACCCCGTTTACGCTTTAGCCACGCCTTTGCCACTTTCCCCATACCTGTCCCCACTCTGTCTGGTAGCAGTTTTCCACTTGAAGCAGCGCGTGGGCAACAGCCGCAATTACCCACAGATACACATGTTCATCCATGCAAGGCTGATGGTCGAAGTCAAGCTCGACAATTTGACAATGCCCAACGAAAGCGGACTTCAACTCCGCACATTCATAATTTCATCCGTCTAGCCGTATGTGGCTCCGTAGCCTCATTGTGCTACGTTAAGCGCGTGGCTTTAAATTAAATGCGACGTGGGGTATGCATGCATGGAAGCCACTGCTGCTGCGAGTGTGAATTCTTCTTACAGCTTCATTATGCACCCACCACCAGCCTGCAGCTGGTTCGCATCCACGAGCCACATAAATCACGCTGAGGCGCACACAAAACTACCATTTGATAATTTGCGAAAAATGGGTCTGACAACCGCGAGAGAACGCCATATTGTCAGCCGATCGATGATATATGTGTATATATATGTGTATATATGGATACATGTAAGCAGAAGTTGCATATGTGTGCGATGCTCACATTTCACGCCTGCATCTGCCACGGGGCAGCTCTTCTCGTGTTTTTGCACAATGTGCACACATGTACGCGCTGCGCTGGAAGGGGAACGCGAATTAAATCACAAAAATCTGCTGAACTGTTGCCATTTGTCCATCCCGCCAGCCGGCCCAAGGGCGAAGGGAGTGGCACAAATCCGCCCCTGTGTGCTCTCGTAGGTGCGAGAGTGCGAGAGTGCGTAATTATGCGCTCGCAGTCGTAAAACTGAACTTTATTGCCGCCGAAGCAAGTCCGTTCAGCTGTGTCGCATGATTGGCCCGGCCTCGCATCGAGTTCCCCCTCTCTATCTCTGACGGCTGACATTTGATTGATTTATACATGTGTGAAGATCAACTGAAGCCTGCCTGCAGTCCATAAACAAAATAGCTGGGTATCTTACAATTAAATGCGATATAATGATACGTATCTACGAGCCAGGTGGTAGGTAGTATGTCTGGCCGGCCTTACAGCCGAGTCTGCATCGCGCAGATTTGTTGCGCATACGCCCCATTGGCCGCGAGAAAATCTTTTCTGCCGAAATGGGGAAGAAGGTGTGTTCTACATTCGTATCTTAGTGTACTGGGCAGTCAATTTGGCATTATGGAATCGGCAAGTTAGTGTGTCAGTATTTAAAGAATACTAAATGGGATCTTCTACAGTGGGATAACTATTAACAATAATCAGAAATGTATGTATTGGGTAGATAGCCGAAATTTAATTTAATTAGAAATAAAAAAATAAATATTATTGACGAATTAAAGATTAACTCACCAATTGTATGCATGCTCTTTGTCTGAACACTTTGTAAATGATCTTCGAGAAGTCTAAAAACAAAAACAGACGATAAAAGAGCTGAGCCTGCCCCAATAACAGAAAGGTCAGAGCAGAAAATAGGCGTAGCAAAGGCTGGAAATATGATGGAAATCAATGAAAGGAAAAGTGATGCGAAAGTGTAATGAGAAATAATTGTTATTATCATCTTATTTATTCTCTTAGTCGTGGATTACTTTCTATTGTAGACAGGTTACCGCAGCCCCCGCCAAAAAGTCAATTATTCAGTTGGTGGCCCGCAACAATGCCTAAGCGCTTACTTATCATCCCAGACAGATGGCATCTTTGTCTTTACCGTTCAGCCTATCTCTCTCTCTCTCTCCCTTTCTCATTCTCTTTGTTGCTCTTTTCCATGCGCGCCATATAAACAACACGTAGGCTTTTTTGGGGCTCTTTTTGTGTGTCTGTGTGCGTGCATTCTTTCTGCGTGTGTGTGTGTGTGTGTGTGTGACGTCGTCGCCACGAACTGGCGGACAGAAGCAAAACAAACCATAAAAATGCGTAGCCATCGCAGTAGTGAATGCGAATACGAAGACGAAAACGAAAACGAGAAACGAGAAACGGAACGGAACGAAGCATAAAGCAAAAATTCAGCCACAGTTTGCGTCAAAGGGTCGACCTCGAGCCCTAGCCGTCGTAAGTCTCCAGGCGTTAGTCGTCAGCCGCCAGCTGCCCGTGGCCCCCTCTCCCAACGCGAGCCATAAGTCAATGTCAATGGCACGCAGACAGACAAACGAAAGACCCACACAGACACGCGACTTTTTTGGGGCTGTGCTTTAAGAGTATTTTCATGTTTAATAAGACCTTGACATGCGACATTCACCTGACAACCTGAAAACGAGCACAAATTTGTTATGTGGTGTTTATGGGCGGCGTTTACAATTAAATGGGGCAACGCTTCTATCTGAAAGAGAGAAGTGCAAAAAGTTTTAAAATCCGCTAATCATTTCATTATCGAATATCAGAACTATTTAATTTAGTTCAGACAAAAACGCGCGTAATAAAAATAACTCTTATCACAGAATTGCGGCTCACCATAGAACGAGTTGCACATGCATCTCTCATTCATACATACACAAGCACACACACACTCACACACACACACACACACACACACACTCGCTCTCTTACACTCACGCTGCAGCTGTGAAATGCAAACCAGTTTTTGTGCAGCGCTTTTAACGGTAAAGAAAACAACAAAATACTAAACAATTCGATAGTTCACATCAATTTGGCACATACATATAACACACATTTTTAACTTGCGAATTTATGAATTTAAACTTAAAACTTTTTGATTACTTATTAAAACAGTTTAATTTTCAGCCAAAGCGTAGTGTAGTGAATGAACAAAGTACTTGAAGTTTATTTTTAGCTGCCGCAATTTTGGGACGTTTATTTTTTTGGCGGATGTTTGCTTTTCAACGTTTTGCGTTCATTTGAAGCCGTCGCCCGACGATTTCTTGTGCGCCGCTTGGTCGCTGCCTCTGCCGACGACGACGCCGGCGACTGTGGCTGCGACGCGCACGCGGACACGGACGTATGCTCGTTCTGTATCTGTGCGTATCTCACAGATATCGCCCCACGGCCAGGCCGAGTATCTGTGTGTAATGCGACGTATCTGTGAGCCACTAGACTGCCTGTCTGCAATAGTGTGTGTGTGTGTGTGTGTGTGTGTGTGTGTGTGTGTGTGTGCTTGTGCTTGTATGCATGCGTGTATGTGTGTGAGTATCTATGCTATCCATGCGCGCAGCGACTCAGCAAAATGTTTCACAGCTGGGACTTTTCGGTTTAACTGCATGCCAGTTACACTAACAACCGTTTTAGGTAACGGGTACTTTACGTGCATTGCGAATTCGAAATTGGGAAATTTTCTAAGTTGTACGCCGGCAGCGGCTGATAAAATCCCGGCCACGTGCTAAGCCCACATTGTTATCTTTGACTTTGTTTTGGCCCCGTTGTTTTTGTGCTTTGTTTTGCAAGAGAGCTTTTAGCTTTGCGTTGTTTTTGCGGTTCTTGTACATAACCTAGCCTCTCCCCCGCCGCCGCTTACCGTGCCCTTGCTATTGTTGTTTCGCTTATATTTCTCTGTTTTGTTGTTGTCGTTGTTGTTGCGCTTGTGCCAATCGCCGGCGCGTCTTCAATTCTTTTATGGAGCACTTTTAGGGCTGTCTGCGACCCATTTTGAGTTTGGTTTTTCTTGTTTGCCTCGGCCTGTTCTTTATATATAATTTGTTGCTGTTGTTGTTGTTGCAATTAATGACCATTTGAATTATATTTGCGCTCGTAAAATTTACAAGAATTGTTTGCTGGCATTTCTTTTGCACTCATCCTCTCAATGCTGGTTCTTCCACAAAATCCGGTTTTCCCATTCACTTTGTACGTAGACAGCAGAAATTTTTACGACTTTTCTGCACAATGCGCAAATACTTCGACAATGGACCAACGCCCAACCCGTCCGAAGCAGCATTCCGACCCGGACCCATGCCCGTCCGTGGCACCCACTCGGCCATGGCCTGGGAACCGGTCAGAACGTGAAACCATTTACCGTTGCCCGCATCGGGCATTTTATTGTAGGTTTTCTAATTTAATAAATCGTTTGTTGATAATAAATTTTGCACTCGGCTTTTATTAAAACTTTGGAGAATATTTATTTTCACGTTGGCCTTTTCAGGGGTTCGACTCGAGTTCAACATGAAAATTAGAAGAGGACGGATATATATTTATGTAATATACAATTACAAGAAACTAGAAACCGGTTTACCAGTCTTGGCCTGAGTATTATAAAATATTGATTGTTTAATTTTTAATTGAAGAATCACAACAAAAAATAAAATTAATATATGTATCTGTACTATTCATTAGACTTTTATAAAATTCTATTTACAATAAACAATACAAATTTCCCTGATCTGTCTAAGGACTGCTTTTTAAAGTAAACAATTATAGCAAGTAATTCCAATGTATATATAAAAGGGAAGCATACTATTCTTAAGGCGTACCAACTCAGGAACCAATGTAAGCATTCCACTTAAGGGTACAGCAGGAAGGAGCAATTGCACTCCTCACCTAATCTGAAATCCGCAAAAATAGGTACAAATCGGTATTACCTGAAGAAATTGGAAAACTAAGCAAGAGATATAACAACAGACTGGAGCTAAACTAAAACTTTTCGGCATGCCGAAGCTTAAATACCCTTATAATGGCTGAAATTGACCAAGATATCTTAAACAAATTATGTGTGTCTAAATATCACACTTTCCGACCAAAAAGTATGACTAACAAATACCCAACTTGGTCAAGATATCTTGAAAAACAATAATAGGAACCTAATTTCATTGTAAGATTGCGTTGATTATCATCTTTCAGTCAGTAAAAGCAGTTTTATATGCATACGTTTATTGTGAGACGAGCAAAAAGAGCAAATTTTTGTTGAATACCATTAAAAGAAAGGCATTTAAAAAGTATATAAAAATATAAATATGTACATAATATATCTAGGAGATAATATTGTACGTGTATATGCACTATGGCTATTATGTTATTGACAACCTGGCTACACAGATAGTGAACCACCCTTAGCTGAATTCCCGGACCACCCTTACAGTTAACTGCAACTGTGTAAGTGAACGTTACCTACTCGCTGGCAAGTGTGCATGTGTGTGTGCGCATTTCAAAGAGCTTACCCCTAATTGCCAAACCATAAAAAACTGCAATTTATACGAAGGACAACCACGGAGGTGAGCAGCGAGTGAGAGAAGCTCCCAACGAGAAGACTCGTCAGATGAGAAACTCCTGGCATTCAGCAATGATTACGCTTACAGCAGGGCATTGTCGTTAGCCCAGACGCTCGGCCAGCAGGGAGACGGGTAAAACGAGGACACAAGCACCAGGCAACGAGGCTGGCCCATTAGCCGCAGAAGCAGTGGCAGAAAAAAAGGACACCAACCAGCAGTCGCCAAGCATCAAATTATGCGGAACTGCATTTTTACTTTTGGCATGGAAAATGCACACGATTTGCAGTAAACGGAGAGCAGAGAGAATACTTATGAATGGCTGAGTGCAGATGGATTCTAGTCAAGTATATGGAAACTGTGGTAGCATCTGCTTCTGGTTGTATGCAATAAGTGTCGTGTGTTCTGCGTCCTGCCACTGTCTGGATGCAAATTTTTCGCACACGATATCGAAAATCTCGAGAACTGCAGCCAATCAACTGGAAATTACCAAGCGTCGAGTTAAGTGCCCAACAGCATCAACTCGCAGCGCACAGCTGAATTGATAACAGATATTGTGCAACAACAACAGACAGCAAGCAACAACAACAATAGCAACAACCGCGAAGGGCGATAAGCGGCTCGCTGCTCGCTGCTCGCGGCTTGCGGCGTGCGGCTTGCGGCCTCGCGGTTGTCGACTGCAAAACTTGAAGCTGCCGGTGGGGCGGCCAGTTCTTGTGACCGGCCAGCGTGGGCGTGGCAGCTGCTAATGCGTGCACTATAGTGCGCCCTGTTGCACCAACGGCAGCGTTGCCAGCTGATGCCGTTTCTAACTAGTCGTACCACACCGAAAATCCGTAGCCGGGCGAGGCGAAAGAGCCAGAGCGATGCGACGGCGCGTGAGAGTGAGAGAGCCAAATGCGGTTGCTGCGGCCATTTTGGTGGGAGCGAGCACGACATAGTCAATATTAATGACAACAACAAAGGCGGCAACGTCGACGCAGTCGTCGGCAGCAACGACAACTGCAAAGAAGACGTCGACGTCGACCGCGACAGAGACCGCAGCTGCAGCTGGTCAGCGGCCCTGTTCTTGGAGACTTTGCCAGCTCCGCGACCTCAGAGTGTTTGGCTGTGTGCGTCTGTGTGCTGGAATTTGGCGGCTGCGGCTCTAGAGAATCTGCCACTGCTTGTGCCTATGTGTGCGTGAAGCTTGAGCGAAAACTTTTGAGTGAAAGAATGCCGAGTGTCCAAAGATTTGAATCTAGAGTTTCCACTCATTCTCCCGGTTGGAACACTAATGTGAGTCAAGTTGCAAACAAAATACTATTCCGGCCCAAAATTGATTTTTCCAGTTCGATTTGTAATACATCCAATTAATTTATTATTATTAACCAATCACAATTTAACAGAATATTTTAGATTTATATAGTTAATCTTGAAATATTTAAGAGCCAATCAAGACAGTAAGACTAATATATGGTTTAACATTCTTCTCGTTTCAGCTTTTTATTTATTCTGATTATGATTATTATTTTGATTTTTATTTCTGTATATTTTTTGGTTTTATAACATTTGCAGATACAGTAATTTCCGGATTGTGCTATTAAAAAATACACTTCAAAGCACCAAGGGTTGGTATTTCAATTTATTCTGTTATCTAACATGCACATTTCTTTACATATTATTATTATCATTATATAATATAAATCAAAGAAGCGGATAATCTGTGAGCACTTAAACAAATTTAGTTAATAGTCGTGAATAGTAAAGTTAGCCAATCCATAAAACCCTTTTGTCCATTCACATTAAAATCAGCATAAAACATAATTGAATAATGATTTGATCCCGTCCGACGGGTTTTGCGCATGAATCGATCATAATTACACGAGTCTGCGACAGCGAAGCTTAAAGCATTTTGGGCTCACGTTCACTCTCTAAAAATTTCGCGCTTTATCGCTTCAAAAACCCATTAATATGGCCATAAAACTTGCAATGGCCGAAAGCAGCCCCGTCGGCTCTCCTCAGACTTGGCGAGCAGTCAGCGTCTCGTGTTCGCGGCATTGAAGTGTTGAATTTGGGTTTGAAGCTTCTCCCGCAGAAGCGTTAAAAATAATTCTCAAAAATGCAGGCATTCAGATTAACGATCCTAAGTTTAGTTGCGGCGTTCTGTGTTTCTCTCAGTCCCATGATGAATACTTGGTGGCTGCGACCATTTCTAATTTAACTTGAGCAACCATCCCAAAGATGGTCGACGGGGCTGGTCGCAGCTCCATTTTGCGAGACCTGAAAGTCATTTGTGTGATTCAATGTGAGGTTGTTTTTTGGCTTGACTGGAAGTCGCACAGAAATTGCCCGATTTGTGTAATTCGCGTTCGCGCCGAGTTTCGATTGTCTCGGCACATTATGAATGGGCCTATAAAATGCATTCATTATTGCCATTAGTTGCCCGTAAATTGGAAAATAAATGTGACACAGTGTCGTCCCCAGCTGCACCGCACCACTCTCCTTTAGCCCTATCCACAGTCCAAGCGCGTCATTGGCGAAGCCGATGCGAATCCATATCACCATGCCACAGATTTGCTGGACTGGCATGGCTGATGCTGGTAGCGGCCAAGAGCATGCTGACAGAGACGTTATTCCAGTTTTAAATCTGCTATGGAATCTGAGGGGGATAACAATTAATACATTGCATTAAATACCTCATAATAAGGCATCTTTATTGGCAAACAAAAAAACACACAACAACAACATCTTCAAAAGCACTGCAATAGGGACATATGCTTTTGGGTCTGTCTCATACTGTGACCATATATCTATATTATGTATATATTATATATGCAGATTTTAAAGCACAATACTGTATAAATAAAACAGAGAGTAGTATATATACACTTATTTGCATTACGAGTACCCCTACTTGCTTGCTTTTTACTCACCTGTGCCTGGAACCACTCAAAGGCAGCTGGATAAAGAATGTCTGACTGTTTATTAAGAAAATAATTATTGCATTGCAACTAAAAGAGTCAAATGTCAAGTTTTTTGTTACTTCAGAAAACTTTTATTGTTATTGATGTGAGGGTAATGCAGAGATTGGTGTATTTATTATATTATAACTATTGTTGTCATCTCTGAGCTCGAGTTGTCATCCCGCATCATCGCAGTGGGCGCTTATCATGAGCTAATGAGCTTTATTGTCACTTAAATACTGATTTTAATTATATTATTAATTTTATTATTGCGCCCCAGTCTAGTATTGACAGCCGCTTGGGACACCTTACGAACAGCTCGTGGCCTGCTGAAAGGCAGTCTGTCCACTGGACTCTTTATCTACTGCTCCCACTTCCAGCCAAGCAAAAAAAAATAAATACAAACACAATAAAAATGTTAATAATAAGTAATCAATGACATTTGCACCCACTCAAGCGCAATAATTACAAAATAATCATTTAAGACGGGACTGACTGTCGAATGTTTAATTGAAAGTGCACTGGGGATTAAACATGCTATATTTAATGTAGATTCTTTGTACAAAATCACAATTTTCCTTATTCAACAACTAATTTCTGTGGCGCGCCAAAGATTAAACACTCTAACGTATGGCTTTGCAGATCTGTAAAAATATACAATAACTCCTTTTTTAACGATTGTTCTCATATATATTAGTCAGGATATCTAAATAGGCGAAAAAGTTCCTAGTTTTCTACCGAACGTTGCTTTGACAGTTATTTGATTCAGTTATCCTATATTGATATGAGCACATATAAGGAGCATTGTTAAACAAATAAGCGACGATTTTGGTCAAAATATCTTGTGTAAAAAAAGCTTGCTATGCGATAACCTACTTTGCGACGGATCGTTCTTACGGCAACTGTATCATATAGTCTGATACAGCCAGCTCCGACATATATTCAGAGTGCAACAGAAAGATGGACCTATGCAAAATTTCACGACTTAAATCTAAGAGACTAAGAGAGAGAGAGAGAGCATAAAACAGCCGGACTGGCCGTCTTTTCTATATTAGATATAATTCCTTCTATGCGTTACCCATTTCAAGAGAAAACCATAGTACCCTCTACATTGGAATAAAAAGTTGTTTAGAAAGGCATCTTTGTTCGGCTGTATTTGTTAAGGAACGATTGAATAGTTTTCTGAAGAAAAAGCCGGCAGTAGGCTCCTCCAACCCCATAAGTATATATTATATATATCCTGTATTTATTGATTATATCTAGTACAACTCATATCCAGTTATTTATACCATTTAACATATATGAATTTTTGTAGAGAAAGCCGCATAATTTCTATTATTTTTTTAACAAGCCCTATATAAGCATTTTTACTTAATAGTAACTCTCTTCGATTTTCAAACCATAATATGTTTTATTTTAATCAGTCAGTCGGCAAATGAATATTATTTTGTTATTACAATGATATGTATATATGTATTTATGTGTTTGATACTTTTTAAGCGTATATATAGTACGTTTGTATATATATACATTTTCGAATGGAAACGCCCATCGAAATTAATTAACTCGTGTTAAGCACAGGACAATTATGAACGTGAAGTGGGTATTGCCAACATTTCCATTACGAAGAAATAACAATATCAATATGCCATCCACTCCACTTTACTCCACTCCCCAATTGTCAGAGTCTGGTATCCGACGATGACTGCTGAATGGCAGGCAAGTCCCATAAATTGCGCGCAAAACACGAACTTGCTTAGAAAATCGTTAGTTTAAGTGCGCCACAAATTGACAATTAAATAAATCGAAAGATGTCACAATGACAGCTACAACGACGCGACTTGTGACGAGCTACAGCTTTGTGTGGGACTCGAACATGCATTCGCATTCGCATTTTGAATTTTGCATTTTGCAGTTTGCATTTGGCATTTTGTAGTTCGCATTTCGAGTTTTGCATTTCGAGCCTCGCGCCTCGAGCCATGAGTTTGATATGCATAACATTCGTTTGGATGGCAGCCAAAGGGAACGTGAAGCAAAAGGAGTCGAGCAGTCGACAGGTTGACGGGGGCGTTGGTGACCAGCGACTAAGTTTGTTAGCATTTCGCACGCATCCTACATAAATTAGTGAGATTTATGCGACAGCCGCTGCGCTTAGATTTTGCTAGAAAACAGCAAGAAGGGAATCAGGGGTGCAGTACTGCCATTGGAGCGAATGGAACATACCGATAGCGCATGGCACATGATAGCAAATCGATAATAAATTAGCATCTTTGGCGACACGTTTCCTCCGCACCTACAGACACACTCAGAAAAGCTTCAGCTGCGCCCTCTTACTCTCTCACTCGAGTGGTCGAGGGGCCAAACTTTGTGCATTTGTCCCGCTCGCTCCCTGATTATGGGCGCACTCATTTTATAGTCGAAAAATCGATGGAATATGCAAAATATATTTTGGGTATTTAGCCAGCAACATCACTGGCTCAGTTTCTGGTCTGGCCAGGGCCTTAGCCAGCTTGGTAATGGAATCCGCCTAAGTCAACAGATAGGTAGAGCAACAGCACCAGCATCCTCAAGGGTCCAACTCTTTGCCGGCTGGCCAAGTGAATGTTAATTTGGGGCTTACATATTCGTTGTCTGCTTGATGTTAGTTCACTAAAATGAAATGCAAACGCAGAGGGGACAACCGGGTTATGGAATGTTTTTGCTTTCAAGCTTAAACGCTTTTGTTTTTCCCGTTCAAAACAAATATTGAAGCGCTCGCTATCTGAATCTTCAAAATACCCGTTCCAAGCACTCTGTGCAGCCAAGTTGGTCTCCGGCTAGTTTAAGCCGAATTTGCTGTTAGTCCGTTCGTTGTTGCCTTTTCAGATATTAATCGCTGGAATTAGTTTCGGGCACAGACGTTTATTTGACAGCCCAAACGCTGAGTGTAACACTTTAAAAGTGTATATTGACAATATTATATGCATATGCGATGGCCGGCTATCGATTTTTTCTATCTTCGTTAACTGTGTATTGAGTGCTGTTTTGAAATGCAAAGCATAAACGTGTTTTTAATTTAAAACTTTTTTTTTCTCTAGCCGAGCAGCACAGCGCCAGGGGCCACCTTATCGCCATTTGCAATTACTTGAACATTGTGTTGCTTTCCACACTTGATCCCATAGATTTGCCAACACATCGCTCCAAGTGACCCAGTCTCTGAAGTCTTTTGCAGAACATTTGCCGGCTATACACTTGAGTTCCTTTTAGGGTTACTTTTAAAGGCAAGTCAATTGAATGCCATAAAACAAAATGTTTATATTTCGAAAAAGTCAAAAGTTAAATACATATTGCAAGAGATCAACGGCCTTCGATTATGGGAGAGGGGCGAGACTGCTATTGGCAGCTGAGTATGGAGAAACTGGGAGCTCGAGGCAGCTCTCTCAGCACTTGGTCTTAATTGAAATTTGAAATATGGTATTATGTGCGCGCCGCTCTAGCACAGTTCATAATCGAGCCCCAAGCCAAGTTCAAGAACTCCCTTGTTGTTTATTGAAATAATTATTCAGCCGAATGTAATGAGCAACTGGCTCAAGTGCCATTGCCGGAGAAGGTATGCGGCACATGCCCTCCAAATTGTACATAACGGACTCAAGCAACTCACAAGCAATCCAAGCTAATGCCACATGCACTTGGTCATGAAATTAATTTTGTATTTGTATGTATGTATTATGGAATGGTTGTATAATGAAATCAAGTCAAACAGGCCTCCATATAATTAGCTGTAGACGCGGTTCTACATGCGTTTTTAATTGGAAATTGCCTTGTTTGAGTGTGTGCTCAAAGCTAATTTTAAGGGAGATTATGTGATTACGAAATGACAAAAGGAGCTTTATACTATTTAGAAAAAAGAATTTTTCAATTGATTCGTTTTCCTATTAAATACATAAATGAAGCACACTTCAAATTATTTATATTAATCCCGACTAGCTGGCTGGCAATTCCGCAAATAATTTGACACTTATTTGCTCTAAAATATAATTATTTAAAAAGGAAGCTATTATCTTTGCGATACCGAATCTTTTTGTGCTAGCCACACAGGATTTGTTTCATTCTATAGGAGATACAGAATTTAGTCGTCTGACTAGGATTTGCTCGTACTTTAAAGCAATGTGATGCCAATAATTGTTAAGATTGGTCACAATACAACCAAGCGTTATGAAACCTAAAGAGAGGGATAAGTGCAGACGGACCGACCTGATCGAGAGTGTATAACTTAATCTAATATCTGCTGGCATAAGTGTTCCATTTAATTTTATTGCACATATTTTTACAATTGGCTTAGATAACATTTTTAGGTTAGGCCAATGGCAAACAAAATGAAAGCAGACAAAATATTATTCGTATAGAAAAATCATACTTATAAATATAAGTTTATTTTAGAATTTCTATATTTAAATGATAAAAGAATTCGAGTATATAAATCTAAGGAGAAATGGACAAAAATATTCAACTTATCTCAAAGAAAACACGAAACAGCGGAATATTTTGAGCTAATTGCGAGAATTTTGGGCATCAATTCCAGCCCAAAATGACAGGCGAAATAAGTTTAATGCTAATTTAATTATGCATTTATTGATAATAAAATCTTTTATGTGACATTCAAAATGAATTACGATGAAATTGGCAGGCGAAAACGCAGACCCAGAGATATAGTTAT